AGGGGTGACCATGACACTCAGAGGCTTGCGCCTCGAATTAGTCACCCAGACACAGAGGAGGGCGAATAACACCTCGAGTAGGACAGATGTAAACAAGGGGTAGAGCAGACGGAGCAAGAGAGAGATTGGGATAAGACTAGGAAAGAGGAGTGCATAATAAAAAGCAGGCTCTGATTAACATTCCCTGCACAAGCATGAAAAGGGGGTGGGGATGAGAATGACAGTTGGAGTGTGAAGGTTTCATGTCGCTTAAAGAAGCACACCACACTATATCAAAATAAACACGGTAAAAATTGTAGGAGTAAAGGCATGATAGGATGCTACCGGAGACGCGAATAACCACAATTGTTTAGCACACGTTTAGTCAAATGATCGGCTTCACTTGTCTATTTGACGAGCTGTTGTATGGTGCTAAGAATGGCGATACTCGCTGACGAAGCCGGCGAAACGTCTGGGAATGTACCACGTCCACGGTCCGACTTTGGAAATGAGTATGCATACAATGGACTCCGGACAAGGTGCGTTCCTCTAAGTCTTCCTACCAAGGTCAAACAACTTGTATACAACGAAAGGAGACTGCGACCACACAAAAGGCAACACCATCTTGGTCTTCATACCTTTATTCAATTCTATCCCAGAAATATGTCTTCCTTTAAATTATCGTATGCCCTGTGATGAAAAGTCACTTGTGTCAGTGGCAGGTAGTGGTCAATGTGTCAAGACTATGCGCTCGACTAACACAATTCAGATTCGAGTCCCATTGGGGGTGTCCTGATCAGACCAGTTCAGGCGAGGTCGAAATTGCAGTCTACTCCAGCTGATGATGAGAATACATTTTGGGAAGCAAGGCTATATGAAATCCTGTAGAAATGTGAGGCCTATTCATATGATTGTTGCAAAATTCAACTAGTCGTTCTTCATAACCTACTTTTCGTATATGTAATCTAGTCATGGTCTCATAAACCTACTTATAAAACGTTACTAAAAATTATAGTTTATTGTAATCTTATAAATTTCACCTAGTCTCCATCGCCAACCACGGCAACAGTTTCCCAGTCAATAAATAACCCAGCAAACCTTCACGACGTTGTCGCACAAATCGGCGCTTGCGAGCTCGCACCTGTCGTTTACTTGCCCGAGATTGTTTGATACTGAACTTGGGGGTGGCCTTTTGTGGAGTTTCTAAAGCCCGAATTTTCTGATGACCGGAAAGTGTTGACAGAGAACTGCTCTTGCACTCCTTTTGCCTGTTTGTCTTGTCGTCAACACTGAATCCCGGATCTTTATCGCCATCAGTGCCGTCGATAATATCATCTTCTTCGGCGCCATCACCACCGTCGTCACTGTCATCGTCTTTGTCAAGCTCCTCACCCTCGATTATGGCCCTTTTGGTGAACGGTTGAGCCGACGAAGTAGACTCAAAAGAGAGTGGAGTGTTTTCATCTTGTTGCAGCCAAGCCAGCTGACAAAGAAGGAGATGAAGAGCCGAAGTTGGCGACGTTGAGGGCAACAAAGCATCTTTTCCAGAGGCGTCCAAAGCTGCACATGAGCGATCCAAATGCTCCGAATAAATGTCTGATGAGCCGATAGGGGCGGGTAGACGAAGCTCACGCGGATTGTTGGTGGGCAAAGATTGGCAAGTTTGTGCCGAAATTGGAGTAAGCAGATCTGCATTAAGCGTCTGGTCGGATCGGCCGGCTGTGCAGCTCGGAGATTTAGGCTCAACAACACTAGACAAAACGTTAACTCGGATTATTCGTTCAACAAGGTTGACGGCCAGATGACGAAGAGAGTACACTCTGGAGGCATAGTAAGCGCGAATACTCGTGGGATTGCCCAACAAGGCCCAACAAGAGTCGTCGTGAGCAGGCGGGTGAAGTGAGGGCGAGGCTGACGACGAAAGTCGAGGCAACAATACACGCCATTTGGCTCGGCCACTGCGACAGTCCGTGTTGGTGGTGACACTCGCGACGTCTGTCTCACGGAGGCGCGCATACGCCATCAGCTGAGCCCGTTGGTCGTCCGGTTCTAGTCGCTTCAGATTGAGGTAGAACCAGGCCTCTTCCCATGCCAACAGACAGGAGAGCACACACCAAATCGGCGTCTCCATGAGCCCAACCGCCGCGAGACGACTCTC